TATAAGTACACACCTTTATAAAATTCAAATAGACAAAAACAGCTGCTACATGTCAACAACGTGAGAAGAGTCGCTAACCGATAAACAGAGTAGACAATTCTATTATCGGTGTTTCTACAAAGAAAAAACAGTCAACGTATATATTAACTCAAATGTTATTAAGTTGAAGTCGAAACGTGTCATTGTGAAGGGAGTTACTATGTTTTTTAATCTTTCAATTAAATGTAAGTTTTATTTGACTCTTTTTGACTAAATTATGACTTTTTATTGACATATGAATTTTATCATTTGACTTTTCCAATTTTATTAACTTATTATCTTAAATAACACTTCTTTGCGATTTTATAAATCACATAAAAAGAATTTTTTACTTTTGTATACTGACTTCAACTTAATAACATTTGAGTTAATATATACGTTGACTGTTTTTTCTTTGTAGAAACACCGATAATAGAATTGTCTACTCTGTTTATCGGTTAGCGACTCTTCTCATGTTGTTGACATGTAGCAGCTGTTTTTGTCTATTTGAATTTTATAAAGGTGTGTACTTATATATCTTGTATTTATGATTGTATTACTTCTTTATCCTTTGTCAATTTTATGATATTTATTATTAATGTAAAAAATTTTTTCACAAGTTGGCTGATGATGATCAAAAATTAAAACCGATCGAAACGTCCCGTAATAATACGTTTAACATTTTTTACACCACTTCCATCCGTGGACTAGGCTATAAGGTCGAATTTCCATTGGTTAAATCCCATTTTAAGGCCTGTATAAACTCATTTTAAATATATTTTACTTGATCTTATATTACCTTATTTATTTTATTTGTGTTTTCATAAGTTAAAAAAAGTTTATACTATACTTACATGTGTATTTTCTGCCTTTAAGCGATGCTTACTCGTAACGTGACTCGATTGTTTCTTGATCGTTTCCGACGCCATGTTTTGTCAAATTCCTAACTTCTTCTTCTTCTTTTCTTAAATGGCGCACGCCCCTTCGCGAGAAAAGCAAATGCTAGTTGGTAGTCGTTTTTATATTTTCAAAACAAATGGGGGAAAGGGGGATGTGCAGTTGTTTACTACTACCACGCGATACACGGTCGTCTTTTCGCAGTGGGCGTGCCCATCTGTGTCGGGCTCGTGTTCGAGGTGTTGTGACTATGATCGTCTTGTGGGAGGGGGAATTAATTCGAGATTACACCCGAATTAATTATTATATATATGGAGGCCCGATTAAGTTCGCCGATCAACCAATAAACTCGGTTGAAAGGGTCCGGCCCGGAAAAAATCCTTAGGTGGTGAGCGGATTCGAACTCGGGACCTCCAGGTTCGCAGCCCCTGCACTCAGGCCGCGAGACCACTGGGCCAGTCTTTCAAATTCCTAACTGTATCCAGACCATAGACTTATATAATAGATGGAACATTTATATGACGAAGTTGAAGACAACATTAAAGGACAGAGATAGTGCTGGAGTAGTTGTTTCTTTGTCTTACAATAAGAGCGGTGGGGAACCAATCATCTTAAGTGCATAGACATATAAGTCTATGCTTAGGCGTAAGAGTGCGATCTCATGCACTGTTATTTTTCGCGTAACGCGTAACGCGTAACCAATCAGAGAGATTACGTGTTTTATAGTACGCAAAATTGAATGTCCTTAATGCACATGGAACGTAAAATAGCAGCAGCATATTGCGTTTAACCAATAATATTGTTCTATTTTCTAGGAATGTTTGAACAGAATTACTAAACATTGCATTTTATTGGATACGCGTGTATTTACTACGCAAATTTTTCATCCATGTGAACAAAAGAAAATAAATTGCGCGTAAATGCACACATGTATATTGTATATATGAAGAAGATGAATTCCGAAGTGTTTTTATTTCTTGTTTCTATATATAAAAAAATACTATCTAAAAGTGGTAAAATAATATCAATTATTAAATTAAAAAAGTTAATTGCAATTTTTTTGTTACAATATGGAGAAAATCAAATAATAAAACGGAGATATTGGGTTCATCTTATTTTTTTTTACTAAATGTAAAAAATTACATGGACTCAGATAACCAAATCTGTCGAAACAGATTTTGCCAAATGCTTGTTACAAATTTTTTTAGCAGAAAGACATCAAATATGATGCAGAGTTTGTTTTGTCTGGCAATGTTAGAAAATTGCTATCAAAAATATATTCAAGCTTGTTGACAAAACATAACAGCAACTTGCTGGCAAAAACCAAGCAAAGCTGTGTCGTGTTGCGCAGATCTTGCTTCATATTTGGCGTCAATTTGGTCTCAGACCAAAATATGTTTCAATATGTATCAAGCTTTGCTCGGTTTTTGCTAGCAATTTGCTGTTACTTTTTGTCGACAAGCTTTGGCAACAAAATGGAAGCCTAATGCAGACACAGTTGATGCCAATTTACTGAGTATTTTTGCTTAAAATTGCTGACAATTTGCCGGCAAATTGCGAACAAATTGTTTACTGAGCTAGTAAAATATTAATAAAAGATTGATGTGTATAGAGGTGTCCTCTGGTTTGTGATCAATAAAATTTAAATTTAAGTAACGGGCTTATCAAACCGATTGCAGGATGTTTTGCAATAAAATTCCAATATTTATTGTCCAAACGTTTCGACTTTATTGTATCAAGTCATATTCAGTGTTTTGTCTGGTGTGTGTAAAATACAATTTGTTGTTAATAATGAAAAATAACAGTAGAATATACAACAATATATTACACTAAATTAAGAAACTTACAATTCTGTACAACATTTCTTATAATGACGACAAATTTTAGAGTGTTAACGAATGTGTTGTTACATACTAGTTATCGTCGATACTGAGAGTATGGAACATTTTTATGTGTTGTGTGATCTGTAGCTCCATCTATAGTTATTCTTATTACTTAATTTGGTTGAGGTAAGGGAAATATGTTTTGTCTAAGGCTTGGTTTATGCGGGCAATAACTGTTAACTTATGCCGGAACCGGTAGAGTTTAACTATAGGATTCCAATACTTCTGTTTATACGCATTCGGCAATTTCGTATAAACAGAAGTATTAAAATCATATAGTTAAACTTTACCGGTTCCGGCATAAGTTAACAGTTATTGCTCGCATAAACCAGGCCTAACAGTGTCGTATATCTTACATAACGTTGATCGTGTTGTTTTCTATTTTAATGTTAACCATCTCGGACGTTAATCGTTTATAATAATTTGGTTTATTGTCTAATATTTTTACTGTGCTCCAATTGAATGAGTGTCTGGTTTCCATGCAATGCTCAAATATTACTGATTTTTCTTTTTTTGTATTAACCGCGTATATGTGTTCTTTGATTCTGGTTTGCAATTGTCTTTTTGTTTGACCAACATAGTTAGCTATATGTTAGCTTCCCACACAGACATCCATCCATCCAGACATCCATTAGACATCTATTAGATGTCGCATGAAGCTGTTGACGTCTAATGGAGTTTTTGTTCTGTGTGGGTTATGTTAAGCCCATTCTACATTGATCGCAAGCGCAAACGCAAGATATAGATCTTGTAGAATTGACCAATCACGCTGGTCAATTGGCTGATTTGATCAATACGATTAGTCAATTCTACCAGACCTGTTCCTTGCGTTTGCGCTTGCGATCAATGTAGAATAGGCTTTAAATATAACAGCATAGTTAGCTTATGTTAAATATAAAAACGCTAAATCATAACTTTAAAAAACAACAATCTCAACAATATTGAACCAATCAAATATTATGTTAAATATAAAAACGCTATAATTCATAACTTTAAAAAACAACAATCTCAACAATATTGAACCAATCAAATATTATGTTAAATATAAAAACGCTAATTCACATTACAATACAATAAACCCTAGCAACAAAATAAATTATCATCCACATTATGAATTCAGTTTAAAAAAATTCAACATTGGTGAATCTGATGAGATTAAAATCACCGCGCAACAATTTAAACAGACACCTGTCAACAAATTTGTTCTCAATGATAAATGGTTTATTAACCTTACTGAAAAATCAATTCCAAATGAAGTTTCAGAGTTTTTACAGTTTGGTGACAGATTTTCGTTACCTGTTACACAAAATAAAACTAAATTAGTTGTGGAAACTATCAAAGATGTTGAACATAACATTAGAAAGTTTGACCCAACGATCAAAACTAAACTTAGAAACAACACCATAACTTATTTTAATCATCTTACTAATGACAAAACACCATCTTCACATATAGAACATAAATTACTGACTAAATCCAAAGTAGTAACTAATTTTATCAAAGATAACTCGGACATTATTTTTACTCGATCTGACAAAGGTAATTACAGTAGCAATATCTAGAATCTATTATTTTAATAAAATACAAGAAATGTTAAGTGACAAACACACATATTCACTTGTCAATAAAGATCCTACAAGAACTATAGAAAACAACTTAAATGACTTACTAAAAAGATGGCATATCAAAGAATTCATCAGCATTGACACAAAAACATTTTTGAGTTCTAGTGACGCATTATTACCTAGAGCCTATGGAGTACCTAAAACACACAAGACAAATTGCCCTTTCAGGGTGATAGTTTCCACAATTGATAGTCCATTACATAATCTTGCCCAATTTTTACATAATATTCTTAACAAAAGTATACCTAATTTTACTTCCTTTACTACCTCCATTTTTTGTTGAAAACAGTTTTCAATTGCACATTTTATCTGGACTTAAAATGAAAGAGGATTTTTTGCTGTGCTCACTAGATGTAATATCGTTATTCACAAACGTACCAATCGACTTAGCATTAAAAAGTGTAACTAAAAGATGGAAGTTTATAAAACTACACACAAAAATAAGTGAACAAGAATTTATGATAGCGTTGAAACTAATATTATCATCGACATATTTCACTTTCAATAACAATATTTACAAACAAATTTTTGGTACACCTTTGGGATCACCATTGTCTCCCATCATAGCTGATATAACATTACAAGATATAGAACTACAAGCTCTTAACGCTATTAAATTTCACATTCCATTTTATTATAGATATGTAGATGACATCTTACTAGCAATCCCGAATAACGAAGTAAACAGCATAGTCCATAAATTTAATTCATACCACCCTAGATTACAATTTACGTGCAAACTCCCAGGTAATGACGGTATCAGTTTTGTAGACTTACGCCTAAATATAACAAATAATGTTGTAACTTGTGACTGGTATCACAAGCCAACATATTCTGGCAGGTACTTAAATTTTTTATCAATAAATCCCTTGTGTCATAAAATTGGTACCGTATATACCATATATATACGGTACCGTATATACCGTATATATACGCTTAGCAATTGCTGAGCGCTGATTTCTGCTAAACGCAGTCATTCTTTACTTTTCGTTGTTCTTTTGTCTTGGACTGTACTCGTATAAATTTCAACCAATCAGCGACGACGAGACAAAGACAGAGATCCTAGTTGTGATGCTGTCTATCGCGGACAGCTCGCACAATGGCAAGGCGCGTTCCATATTATAGTTCAGTGTCTTACACGAATGTTCCGTCTATTATGGCTGCTTTCCTTTTAGGAGACACAGGGTGCTTTCCAACTGCGTACACAGGCGACACTGTGTAACACAGTGTCCAGTAGTGTGAGAAAGAGCATATCAGTGTGTCTCACTCACACTAGTGGACACAGTGTTACACAGTGTCGCCTGTGTACGTAGTTGGAAAGCACCCACAGTCGACACAAGTCGACACAAAAGTCATTCTGTCTTCGTTCAGTATTCAGTGAGAAACAAAGACAGAATGACTCTTGTGTCGACTTGTGTCGACTGTGAGTGCTTTCCAACTACGTACACAGGCAACACTGGTCTAGTTTCCACCGAAACATTAATTCACACCTAATGCGACGTAGAATCAAATTTAATGTCGATGGAAATTAGTCAAATTGCGCTGATTTCGCTTCCGCTTCGAACTATAAGTACTCTACTTCCAATGAAAACGGAACACTAAATTTAATCCTTACGTGAGTGAAACCAGAGAGAAGCCTGAGAGTGGCCAGGCCCTTAGACCATATATACTTATAGACACGGCTTCAGACAACTATCTTGAAGCAAAGATAATATCATCTACATGACGTCACATGTGGGCAAAGCAAAGGCGCGTTTATAGACGGCTTCAGATAACTGCCTTGAAGATAAGATAATATCATCTACAAGGCCGCGTTTAACCGAACAATTGCTGAAATGCCCACATGTGACGTCACGTAGATGATATTATCTTTGCTTCACCTCGACTCGTGGATTCATATCTACAGGCCGTGTCTATAAGTATATATGGTCTAAGGCCAGGCCCATAAGAGTTTTTACGATCGCTATTCCGGCCCGTAAGCTAGCGCATGTCCATGGGTGGTGCACATTGGCAACTACGTAGCGATGTCCACGAGCGACTTGTCGATACGTACGCTATGTCCAAACGTGGACATGGTTCTATTCCGTGCTATGTGCACAATTCCAAGCGTCGAGAAAGATCGAGCAGCCGGCCAGCACCGAAGTGGTGGGGGAAGTGCAATATACGTACAAGCAATTTTAATTCTCTTAAGTTTTTTGTTACACGAATATCAAGAAAAATGGTTTGTTGCTGTATTTGTGGATGCTCGAAAAGTATTAATCACAATGGTTTCTCTGTATCTTATCACTCGTAAGTAATATTATAAAATATTGTTTGTAAAGTTTTATAGGTTATTTCGAATAAATAGTTGAAATAAAAAAACAATATAAGAAATATAAATATATTAATCATGAGATTATCGTAAAAATTTAAAAATACTGTTGATAAAGTGTTGTTAATGTTTGTAATTTTTATACACTTTGTAAAGATTTCCTAAAAACTGTCACAACGAGAAGCTTGGATACGATTTGTAAATAAAATAAATTGGGAACCTTCAAAATCTAGCAGAATTTGTTCTCAACACTTTAGTGATAATTGTTTTCTTAAATCTGGAATAAAAACTATATTAAGGCCAACAGCAATTCCATCTATACATGTCGAGAGATTAAAATATGTAAGTTTCTATCAAATATAAGCTTTTGTTTCATTATTCAACAATGATGTGTTCAACAAATCATTATTGGGCAATGTACTATTATATTTTATGTTTTGCAGGTAAGAAATTTTAATCCTGTTATGCAAAACGTTACCAATTCTACTATGTGCAAATTTCCAGAAGTACGTGACTCAACAACAAAGGTATATTACTTTAATTAAAGATTTATAATTTACTTACTATTTATGTTTGAATATATATATTGAGTTTTAGATTACTGAAATATCTAATATAGATAAACATATATTAATGGAAAAGAACCAACAAGAAATAAAAACAACACCATTAGAATCAACATCTTCAAACATTATTGGCAGTATTTTAAATCCATCAACATACGATACACCAACAAAAAGAAATTTGAAGACTCAACTTTTAAAAGAGCGTAGTATAAGAAAACTTCAAGCAAAACGCATAAAAATTTTGATGCAACAGAACAGACGATGCAAAAAAAGATTGAAGGATTTAGTAACTATAGTCTTATATGTGTAAGACTATGAAAGAAAACTCAGAATATATCCGTAATTTTTATACTAAATTAATAATTCATAAAGGGCAATGAAACATTATTTTCTTATGTTTCTTTTATTTATCACCACCTTGGACTTACTGCTCATCGGGTTTTACTACTGATTCTTTTATTTATAAATTTGTATTTTTTTACAGATACAATATCATTCCTCCAGGGAATCTGAAATCCAATATTCTACTTAAGGAACTCATCAATATATTTATTATAAAGACTTTCTGTTTATTAGCATATTTTTAACAAATGAATTTTTATTTGTATATAAAATTTATATTTATTTGTAAATAATATAATAAAAGTACTTGAAAAACAACTTAAAAAGTACAAACACATACATTTTTATGATAATTATGTATTTATTTCATAAATTTTTGAAACATCGTGTATTACAATATCTAATATTTATTATTTTGTGAATGGATTTCAGATTTGATTGAAAAACTTAGGCAACAAGCATTTGAATTTAGCGCCACTAGTGACGTCATTTGTGACGTCATAGCTTGTTCGATTCTGGCTTCACTTTTTCGGGCAAATGCTNCTTCCTTTACTCTTTATTCAATGGGCGTGACACAAAGCATGTTTACGTTGCGCGCTTGTTGCGTATGACAACGTGAAATGCTTTCTCAAGATTTGTAGTCTTGAAAAAAGTTCATAAAAGTTCATTCTTGATGTGGTTTATTATTGATATAATAATTATTATCAATAATAAAACATCAAAATGCATTATATATTTTTCTTAATTATTAATACGAGTTAACTGTGTCATAATTTCAAAGTTTTTTTATAGAATATTGAGGAACATTTACTACACACATATAATATACTATCTATCTATCTATATGTATATTCTATTATTAGTGTTCATTTTTATTTATTTTTATTTTATAAATTACAAAAAGAATCTACAT